CTTAGATGATATTTCTAATAATGATAAACAACCACCCAAAGGATGGCGAATTTAGATGATATTTCTAATAATGATAAACAACCACCCAAAGGATGGCGAATTTAGATGGTAATAATTTTAGTTATCTTACCATTACTACGGCTAATTCCTCGCTTGGTCAGCACGAAGTTTATGGACTTGCAACGCTATAATTCGGGGTTCGATTCTCCGTGGTGGAGAAAGAGCACAGATAGTCCATTGTGTAACTTTGCACCAACACAACATCTGAGGCTAGTACAAGGTGTACTACGTCAGCAGAACAGTCAACATACGCTCTGTTAGCACCAACTTTCAGATAAGCTTTAGCGTACCACGGCTCTCCGGAATCAAGCCGCTTGACTTACGTAGTATTTCTGTTCGGTGGTTATGGCATAAATATGCAATACTCGATTTAAAAAAAAAGTCCTAAAAGTCTGGAATATAACTCACTCGAACTAACGGTAAAGACTTACTATCTTCAAAATTAGACTAACATCCTCTCGGAATTCATTTTAACTTTTACTTTTATCAAGATCAATCCCCTGTGAAGTCAGTGTCTTTTGTAGGTTTTAAGTAAACAACCACTTCAAGAGGATATTTCTGTACTTGATGGGATGTATAGGTATTTTTATTATTCGCAGCTTTAAACATAAAACCTAGACACCAAACATATAACAAGCGAGTGAAGAAAAGGGGATCACGATATATTAAATGTATTTGGATTGTTTGTTTGTTTGTAATTAAGCAAAAAGCAACACAATGGGCTATCTGTGCTCTGCCCACCACGGGCATCGAAACCCGGATTCTAGCGTTGTAAGTCCGCAGACATACCGCTGTGCCATGGGAGGGGGGCATGTATTTGGATATGGAACTACTGCTCTATGTTATTACTTGCTTCATTTGTTTTAAGTTAAGCACGAAGCAACACAATGGGCTATCAGTGCTCTGCTCACCACTGGTATCGAAACCCGGCTTTTAGCGTTGTGAGTCCGCAGACATACCGCTGTGCTAATGGGGGACTTTGCGTAGTTAGTTTATATTAGTTCACCACCACGTACGAATGATTCTAATTCCTAGTTAGGCCTACATCTGAAGAATCTAAGTGCCTTATAATAAACACATGTTAATGAATCGAAAACAAGATATGATAAAACTATAACAACAAGGTTTATTTGTTTGTTTTGTTGAATTTCGTGTGTGTGTGTGTGTGCGTGTACTAATGCGTGAAAAAACAACTTAAAATTCAAAATTAAACTTTGAATCTACAGCCAAATATGGGTGCCCACACAATAGAAATGTGTGTTAACATTAGAACGCTTATTTATTTCCATCAAGTACTTCCTCGTGTTATGTTAATAACACTTTTTCAAGAGCAGCACTGCCCATGCGTATTGAAGGTTTTGGACCCACAAATCAGTCAGTTCTAACAGGTTTTTCCATGAATCTGTTCTGTTACTTGATCATATTGGAGGTGACGGTTATTTTTAACCGATATTTGGTGTCTTTCAAAATTTATCTCATCCTTCTTGTTATGACCTGGTGGTCGCGAGTTCGAAACCCGTAGCCGAATATCCTCGCTCTTTTAGGAGTAGTGGCGTTATAATGTCAACCTCAATCTCACTGTTGGTTTGTAAGAAAAGCCCAAGAGTTAGCGGTGACTGGTGTTGATTAGGTAGATGCCTTTCCTCT